TTTGTACACCAGTCCTCGCATGTTCATAACAGCCCATGGATCTTGCTCTTCCAGTGGAAGTAAGGGAACCAAGCCGCCATGCGCGACAAGTAGAGTTCCAGAGTTCCAGGGCGGTGAGGTCGTCCCCTTTCGAAGCTTGATCCGCAGAATCAGCGGCTGCGAGGCCATCCAGGAAATCTGCTCATCGGTAAGATTGGCGGCAGTTGTAAAGTCACTTTCCGAACTGTAAGGCTTGAGGTCCTCTGGTGATCTTGACTTCAAATCCTCCTTCGACTCAGATGGGGCCAGTTCGCCATTTGTGACCTCCTTCTCCGTTTCCGCTTCGAGCGCCAGCCTCTTTGACCGTTCAATAAGCTTCGTATCCTCCCCCCTTTTGATAGCAGTATGCGCAGCAAGCACCCTGTCCTCATTATTCCCTCTTATCGCACTCGCCCCAAGCTCCATCGCCAACTGGACAACACCCGGGCTATCAGGCCCCTTGTTGATCAAGTCCCCGACGAAAATGAGTTTATCTCCATTGGACTTGCTATACGCGACTTTTTCCAGTAATTTCTTCAGTTCGGGCAAATGGCCGTGTACGTCACCGACGATTATGAGTCTGCCTGGGGCGATGACATCTTGAATACGAGACTGCAAGGGGTGCCACGGAAAATCGGCATGAGAGCGCGCGGTAGAGGAATGGTTATTTATCTCGTATTCATTTTCGTGAGAGGGCATTTTTGTTGTTAATAATAACCCTTGGCGAACTTTTGAGTTTGCGTTTTTGGTGAGGGAGGAGAAGATATGGGTTTGTTACGAGCGGACGAATCAGAGGATACTGATTGGGGATTGAATCCACTTTGACGATGACGAATGTGATGCAGAACAATTGCACGTGGGAACAAGGGAAGAATGATTTCGTATTTACAAGTCGAAAATCCATACTGCTGAAGTCCGAAGGGATTGTTTTTTAGGACATCGGCAGTCATAGCCTGGTCCTGGGCAGGGGGTGAGGCTGATTTCTGTTTTACGATATAATCACCCTTTGAACATTGGATAATAACTGAAAAGGCGTGGTGGCAGAGTGGTCTAATGCGATAGACTAGAAATCTATTCCCTTCGGGGGCGTCTGTTCGAATCAGGCCCACGTCGAACTTTGTTTTTTGGCCTTTTCTTTGGCCTTTTCATAATTTCATTACTTTAATGATAATTTATTATCTCTGTCTATATTTCTTTTTCTTATTTTACATTACCTTTACTACACTTAGCCTGCCCTAATAGTTATAGTATTGTAATAATAAATATTTATATTTTACCTAATTTCTATTAATATAGTATCAAAAACAAGATGTCTATTTGCATATATTCTCTACCAACAAGATGCAATAAAAATGCAATTACAGCACACGGTTTACCTTATCCTCCCTGTTTTAAATGATTGTACTTATCTTGAGAGTTTCGAGCTTGTCGCTTGGCCTATAGAACATAAACCACAGATTCATTCTTTGTGAATTAGGGTAGGTCGTCTACCCGTCGTCTACCATTTAAGCATAGACATATGCTTCCGCAACAACCTACTCCCAAGATCTCGTAATTCCTTAAAGGCCTTTAGGTTGTGTTAGTTTCACATGAAAAAGATCGTTTGGACGGCATCTAATGTTAGACGCCTCGGTGGAAGTAGACTCCCCGAAAGAAACCATGCTCAGCCCTTCATAGCAGGGGATGCGTAAAGTTCACTAGATCCAACAAGACTTCGCTGACGCGCTCCCAATTTGCCCTTGCTTCAGAGGGCCAAAGAGCTTAATTTCCGCCAAGGCAGGTGGTGTGACAAATGCATGATATGATTTGCTTGAGCCTCATAACTCTGATGAGGAAATCCCCAGCTTCCAGTTCCCCGGTATGTCCAGACCCAAAGCAGCAGGGCTGAAAGAACCAGAAAGTCTAGAAATGCGATATCTCTCACATGGCATGCTACACGGCCAAGGCAGAAGTTTTTCAACGCCTGGACCTCGAGAAATTCGCTTAACAAAGAAGCATTCGGCGGGTAGCGTCGCATAGCAAACGCTCTCGGCGACTAGAAGCGCACCAAAAAGCTTGATTGTAAGCAGATACGACGAAAGCGTGGAAACTTTGATGCCGGAAACTACGAGAGAACCAATCGTGGCTTGCGCTGTGTGGGGGGCTAGAATCGTTGGCCTTTGTTGATTGTCGTGTTTATTGCCGTTTGCGTAACCTGATAGTTTGGCCCTGCATTCCAAACGCGCGGGCCCCGTTGACCAGCCCAGGTCCCAGGTACGATACCGACAATCATTGCCAGGGACAAGGGTTCAATCGTCTTTTCCAACGATGAATATCGTGCTATTGGACGTTGCATTACCGCGTCTTGGCATTTTTGGTTATGTTTGAGCTGTCTGAACAGCTGCTGTAAGACATGTCAAGGGATGACGAAAGGACCAAGAAATCCCGCGATAAGGGCGACACCTATTTTAGCGCATCCCTTGTGCCTTGGAGGTAAAAGACAGATTTAGCCTCTTTTACTACCTCGTAGTGGCTGTAGCGTACAGACTCAGGGTCTTCGTCGTCTAAGGAAAGGTCTAATTCGGCAACTCGGATCTGGTGGAGCCGAACCAACTGAACTTGGCAACTTCGGATGGTGAGGCCGCTGTAAGCAAGCCTCGATCATTCCACACTAACAAAACCGCTCGGAATCTAGGCCCTGCTCTCCACTTCAGCTGTGATAATGGGCTCTTGAAATAAAGATCCAGCTGTTTCCCTGCTTGTTCTGGGGATCTCCCTTGGCAGAGTCGCATCATTCAGTGTTACGCTGTACGCTTGTCTTGTAAGTCAAGTCTGCACATAAAACAGGCTGAGTCGTGTTGCACGACTCAACTTGCAACATGGCACACACACACATACAGTACTGACTTATTCCTCCAGGTATTAAGGGCCAGATCGTACCCAGGCAGTCACCCGACGGTCCCCTCGCCTCCTCCCGACGACAAGATGTCGATGTTTGGTCGGTTCCAAGAGAGCAAGAAACAATGGCGTAACTGCATAGTGGCCTGTTTCGCAATCTATGCTCTCGGATTTCTCTTTTTCTACTACAGCTTCCCGGCCTTTGGTGACTTTCATCGGCCTCACCACCACCATGCTGTCTCTGTCACGAAGCAGTCAAAACATGTCAAGCCGGACAACATCACCGTCAGCGGACTGGTATTCTACGGTCGACAAAGCCGAGTTGAGATAATGAAGTGCTACATCGAGCGCAACCTGGTCGAAAATGGAGGATGGCTCGATGAGGTCCTTTGGGTCGTCAACACCGAGCAAAAAGGTGATCTCCGATATCTCGAGGAGATCCTTGCTTCCAACCCTCAGCGATACAAGAAGATTTATTCCGACGAGATTGCTGGGACGTACACATACAAGAACATCTGGAAGAAATTGGACCGTGGAAAGTATTACGTCAAGATTGATGACGATGTCGTACGTGCAATATCAATGTCTTGGTTCGCTAAACACTAATCATTTTGTCTCGCAGGTCTGGATCGACGACAACGCTATCCCCAGTCTTGTCACACGTAAAGTCCAAAACCCCAAGGACTTTGTTGTCTCTGGCAACATTATCAACAACCCCCCTCTTGGATTCTTCCATATGCGCATGGGTGCCATCCATCCATACTTCCCAGAGGCTTTTGAGCCATTCAGCGTCACAAACGCCACTGATTACTGGAGACCATCACGACATCCTTCGTGGGACGGCCCCAAGAAGTACAAGTGGGAACTCAAGAATGAACCTCCTTCCTGGCCCAACCATCGATGGCTTAGAGTCCCTGACGATGCGATGCTTGATCAGACCCCTGCTGCTGAGCTCAAATACGACATTTGGGGCGACAGCTACCGCAACTGGGCTATCGCTTCTCAAATGCACATGTCTCTATTTGAGAACATCGAGAAGAACCAATTAGACCTATATCGGTTCGAGAAGACTTGGACCATGTACGAGGATCGAATCCGAATCAACTTCATGTGCATCTACAGCGATGACATCCTCGACACGGACCCTGAGAACTGGCCCCAAGGACGGGGTGACGAGGACATGATTGTTCTCGACCTCCCCAAGAAGCTTCGACGCCGTAAGTCCCCCATTAGAAATCCACCATGCTTCATAACTAACACCCTCTGCCAGCTGTTGTGATTCAAGGCGATGCTTTGGCCGCTCACTACCAGTACATGGACCAGAAGAAATTGGAATCAACCGATATCCTAAGACGATATCAATCCATCGCGAAGGATAAATACTGCCTGAACTTAGATGCAGCGCGGGACGTCGCGGAAGCAGATCTGAAACAAAGGTCGATTCGAGGCCTCTTTTCCACCCCAAGTGGGTATGATGTTTGATGTCTATAATACGGAGTTATATATCCTGGGATGGGAGCGTGTCGGTTATTATGCTAGAAATTGCACCAGTCGTTTTCTCACCGCTTTCTCTCGTGCCTTGCGGTTTTGTCCACCATCGTGAAACTTATAAATATAACTTGGTTTACGGGTTGTTTTATCTCGGTTGTTTGTTACCGTTGAGGTTACATGGCATAAGATGGTCCTAGTCTAAGATGGGGAAAGGGGCCATTGCCATCGAGACCCTCTTTTGAGAGAAATCGAACTATCGTCACCGTTATTTCTATTGGGATCTTCGTTCATTGTCAGCTGACGATGTCTAGAAGCGCAAGGCGACAGGAGACTTTGGCCTGGACGAGAAAGTTGCCTAGCCATAGAGCGTGATGAGCTCACCACAGGTTTTTTCGATACATACCTATCAATCCAGGGTTCAAGTTGTTTAACCGTTTTACGCACGGCGAACTAGTTTACGGCTTGGAATGAGAGGCATCTTCTCAAAAGAGCCATGGCCTGATACTTAAACAGCAATTCGAGACTCACGTTGAGCCAGTTGGTAGAAAAATTTATTATTTTCAAGACAGTTACAGAATTTTGCCTGCTATATACACTGTTGCAATATGACTACTCTACTTTCGGGAGTGAGTGACTGTCCATCGAGTCTCAACACTGATCTCGTTATTCTTCATCTCAGAAGATCCAACAGTCAAGTTCTTCTCCGACCCTGACTCATCAGGGAATCCTGCGACGGCATAGCCATGCTGAAGCTTATCATTCGGCCTGTAATCATCCATCTCCCAGGTCGACAAGTTTGGGTCTCGAGCAATCTCGGGCTGGGTGCTGACAGCACCTGATCGGCTGGCATCCCTGAATCCTGTTGAACGCTCGGTAGAGTATTCATCCAATCGAGACCCCCCCATTCGCTTCTTGTACTTGGCGTAGAAAGGTCGGAGCATGGGAATGCTAACGCAGAGGATGGCCAGATTAGGCTCGAGGATGAAGAGGAAGATGGTGGTGGGCATGGTTCCGGTGATGTTGTTGTTAAGATCGACAGTTGAGATGTAGATGAGTCGGAAGACGGCGCAAACAACGCAACTTTTCGAGTCAGTATATACTTTTATATCAAGAGTCAAGAGACCTACGCAAGACCCAATGCGAAACAAGAGGTGATACCAATCTTCTCCGCACGGCGTGTCTTCAAGTTCCAAACACTATGCATAGGAAGCGCCATAATGATCAAGTCTCCAATAGCGTTGGTAGCGATCAAAGATTGGATCATGGGGATGTACGCTCCACACTTTCCTTGGGCAGTCCACTGAGCAGAGACTGGGTTGCAAAGGAAGATACAAGAGCAAAGATAGGCGATGAGCCACATAGCAACAAAGACGAGAGCAGCCTTGGATGATTTTTGCATGAAGCTTGTTGGGAAGACTCGGATGAAGAAGGCCAACATGCTCGCTTTGACGGAGGCGAGGAGGGTGACATAAATGGCTTGCATGCAGAATGTCAACTTGAGAATGAAAGGAATATTCGCGGCGACTGGATCGAGGAGTTAGTAAATCGTACTAGCACAGAGGCAGATGATAATCGACTGCGAGTGAGGGAACGCACGCTCAGGATGCTTCGCTAACTCGTATCCATTTCCAACAGGTGCAAAAAGTCCTTGACAACACAACATGGCCACGCCCAGCGGCTGCAATCACAGTCAGTAATGGCCGAGCTCAGCCAGAGATAGTCACCAACCGTTGCGAAAATAACGAAACCATCATCCCATCCAAGTCCAGGTCCCATAAGTCTCCCAATGACCCGCAGAGTGACGACGATCAGAACCAGCAGCACAATCAAGCAATTGATGACAAGTTCGGCCTTGACATAACCCAATATGGGCATGAAAACCTGCGGTGTCGATATCACCTCTACTACTTCCGCCGACATGATGGGAAAGCACTCAAAGCGAAACAAATACGCCGAACAAGAGAAATTTCACAATACAGGGAGGAGCAAAAAGGAACCCATTCTTCCTTATATAAACAGGAACCATAAGCAGGTCATGTCGATCACTTTTCTCCAACCGAACGGCCTGGGAAAAAAGGACCTGCATTAGCTGGGGGTTTTTTAGCGGAAACTTGGCCCAAATGAGACTGGTTTGTTACAGATGACTGAGGCAAGACATGCGAGTGTGTGGTCTCTTTGCCTATTCGAGTACAGAGGCTCCGCCGGGTATGAGGGTAACCCTAGGATCCTTGGGGGCAACGGCCTTGGAAAGATGCAGTGATGTAGCAAGGAGATCCTTGACAGGGTCATTTAGCCAGCGCGGATGACGGATCCGTGGCGAACGGGACTTGGCGCGGCAATGGGAGGAGCCTCAACGCTGGGTCTTGATACACTCAGGGGAGGGATTGGATGCTTCGGCTGGTGCTGTATATCCGAAGCTCACGTGAGAGGCTCACTTTCGATCCAATGGAAGAAAAAGACGATACGTAAAATAGACTCTTAGCACCCAGAATATTGGTGCAGGAACAGGCGAACCAACCGAAGTTGCCGCATGAAACATTTTGATTACAGACTACTCCACATTCAAGGACACTTTCTTGACTCGACTCCCGCAGCCGTAACATCGTAAACGGGTCTAATGAAAAGCCGGGAAAGTGCCGGGTTTCTAGTGCTTCCAGAGCGAAGAGAGTCAGGGCTGAAGAACAAGCTCACCTCAAAGAGAATAGACCAGCTGACCTAAACATTATAAAACAAAGTCTTGTAGGGCTTGAGAACAGACAATGCGGAGAAAAGCAAAAATAACGGCCCTCCCGAGATTGTAGAGAGAAAGACTGAAGAAATGGCTGAATGAAATTACTCGCCAAGAATTAGAAACAACGGAGTATTTCTGGGGCCCGTCCCGTCTCGTTCCTTGACCACTTGGTGAACAATCCGCCATCAAGCGTCTCCATCGTTCCCCATATATAGCCCACATAAGAACACAAAACGAGATTTTAGCGTGCGGTCCTGAAAATATCCCCTCGGAGAACGTTAGCCTACTGTAGGAAATAATCTGCTGACTGTCCAAACGGATCATGTTTTGTCCCCTGGGTTGGGTGACGATCTTGCACAAGAAGAGCGCAGTTCGCCGACGCTCAATGAGAGAGAGGGCGAAAAAACCGCACTGACTCGACACTAGGGGAAACAAAACAGGACTGCAAGATAAACTTCCCGCGCTGCCCGTCGATGGTTTGGCACAAGCCTAACGGTCGCAAAACGTCTTCTTCACATGTTGAGTTAATGATTAATTTTGAGTTTCGGAAATATCGATCGAAACGTTGACGTGCTTCTGGATGACACCGTAACTTAAACCCGTCTGTCACATCATATCATCCATTCCTTGTCACAGTAGCCCCTGTTTTTCATTGCCACGCCACGTTACGGCTGCTGCCCACAATCCAGGTTGTCGGTGCCCTTACTCAATGCGCCCGTTGCATGGATGCTCTGCATGAAAGGAGGTCTCAAGGATCCCTCCCTGCTAGAACGCGTCGTCGGAAATGCAACCCTCATGCCCCCCGGAGACCGCCACCGTAAAGGTTTAGGCCAAGACTGCATGGCAACGTCGCCTTTTTAATCACGGCAAACTCGCGTCGTCCTTATAAAGTATGGTTTGGCTGTATTTGACTGGACGGAACTAGGTTTAAAAAGCAACGTTTTTCGTAAAGGCCAGACCAGCATATTGACTATCTCCACCAAACCGTCAGCAGAAACAAAACACTTTTGTCCCTTTTTAACCTTTTCCATACATCATCCATCATCATGACATCCTCTTACACCACCAAGCAATGGGTCCTCGCCAACAAACCTACAGGGGAGCCTGTCCTGTCTGGCCCAGACGCTACCTGGAAGCTGCAGACCGTCACACTGCCTGAGCTGAAGGATGGCCAGATCCTCGCCAAAGTCCAGTACTTCTCCAACGACACTGGCCTAAGGAACTTTATCCAGAGCACCGTCGCGCCTGAGCGTTTCTACGTGCCTACAGTGCCTCTCGGCTCTCCCATGCGATCCGGCATCATCGCTGAGGTGGTCGAGTCCAAGTCGGACAAGTTCAAGATCGGTGATCTCTGCATGGATTTCCACTTGGGCACCTGGAGCGAATATGTCATCCTGGAAGCCGAAAACTCCCAGGCCCTCGCGCCCCTGCCCAACGGCCTGCCCACCACTCACTTCCTTGGTGCGTTTGGCGCCTCTGGTCTCGCCGCGTATACCGGCTTGTACTATGCCGGCGAGGCTAAGCCCGAGCACACTATTGTCATCTCAGCCGCTGCTGGCGCCACTGGCTCTATGGCTGTTCAGATCGCCTCCAAGATCCTCGGCGCTAAGCGAGTCATTGGCATCACTGGCTCTGACGAGAAGTGCGAGTGGGTGAAGAGCATTGGTGCCCACGAGTGCCTCAACTACAAGAGCCCTACATTCCTTGAGGACCTCAAGGCTGCTACCCCCGACGAGGTCGATGTGTACTTTGACAACGTCGGTGGTGATATCCTCGACGCCATGCTGACCCGCGTCAAGAAGCACGGCCACATCGCAGTCTGTGGTGCTGTTAGCGGATACAACTCTGACGAGCCCATGGCTCTCAAGAACTGGTTCGAACTGATCTCTTGCAGAATCAACATCCGCGGATTTATCATGCTAGATTATATGGATAAGGTGCCCGCCATTCTTGGCGAGCTTATTGGCGCCACTGCCGATGGACGCATCAAGCTCGAGGCTGCCGAGACAGTTATTGAGGCGCCCATTGAGCAGCAGCCCGAGGTTTGGATGAAGCTGTTCAGCGGTGTCAACCAGGGCAAGCTTCTCACCAAGCTCATCATTTAAGAAGCTTGGGCAAATAAAAATAAACAGTTGATGAATTTAGGCGGGCATTTGCATACTAGCGTTGCCATTGAAATAAACTGGCTTTCAATACTTGATCATTTATGAATTCTACTGTGCCATTAATTGTAAAAATGCGACTTTATTTGGCGGCAGTGCTTGGCGCTTCAGAGGGTGTCATGGTCCTCACCTCAATTTTCAGCGACAAGGCGCTGTGAAACAGCGCTTCCACCAGCAGGGATTACTGGGCATGCACTGTAAGTCAGTACCCCAGGTTTGTCTACTGACAGGAGGATTCAACTCTGTGCGGTACTGTGGACCAACCCCGCAGGTTCATGAGATCTGGAGGGGATTCAACTCCTTGCGTTTTGTGCCTGTATTAGGAAGGTCAGATTATCTGGCGGATTTGTTACCTCGGATTGTCCAAAGTTGAGTTGAGTTTTCAAGGGGATTGTGGAGCCTGCCGCCACTTACCCTAAAGACAGATTCTTACAATCCAATGATCTTGGTACTTGCGAGGGTGCGATGCTGGGCAAACGACGATAATTCTATCATTTTCTCTCTCAATGCACTGCTTAGTTGCTGCTAATGTCATGTCGCCATCCAATTAGAGCTTGGTGCACAAAAGAAGCGCTGATCAATTGGCATCGTTTTGACATGGAACCGATTCACACCCCGCACTTTGACATGAAATTGACAAGATTGACCACAAAGGCGTGCCAAGACTTGTGCACATTGACAAGTGACGTGTGACAACTGACCCCTCAGCCTTACATCTCTAACTCATAAAGTTATAGGCAGTGTCAGCAAAGTTTTACTCATCTTACTCTCTACCAAGCGACAACCATGACAATACCAGAGCCAGCCATCACCATTGAGCCAGGATATCGTCCTGGCCTATTAGCCAGATGTCTCGAGATGCACATCGCCTACTATCACCCATACAACTCCTGGGGCCTTGCCTTCGAGACCTCCCTTGCCAAAAGCTGGGCCGACCTCATCCAAAGACTCACCAATCCTCGCAACCAAATTTTTGCAGCAGTTCAGTCAAAACCCTCTGACAACTCCGCCGACTTCACACAAAAGATTGTGGGGACTATCTTGATTGACGCAGAGCACCTTCAACAGCCGAACACGGCGCAAATACGCGGCTTCATCGTTGATGAGCGAGCTCGTGGCCTTGGAGTAGGGAAGCGCTTGATGGCGGCGGCGATGGAATTTATCGAGCAGCAAAAGTTTGATAAGGTGACGCTTTTCACATCGAATACCCAGGAAGCTTCCTTGTACCTTTATAAGAAGGCGGGCTTTGTGGTGGTGAAGGATGAGCAAAAGATTCTGTGGGATGTGCCGATGAATGAGCTACAGCTTGATTGGACGCGACCAGTTGTTGCAACCCAAGGAGTTGATGAACAAGGCGCAAATGGAGTTACGAAAAGTGATATATAGAGAAAAGAAATTATATTGAGAAACAGAAAATCCCACTAAGTTAGCTACTTTAGACCTTTTTGCTGTGTTCATCCACTCATCCTTGAAAACAATCAGTTGGTGTTGAAGAGAGATTAGGAAGTAGTCGTCGGGATTTAGGATTGGCATATCAGCATCGTGTTTCCGGTGTCAAAAGGGCCGAACTGCATGCCTCTATCACAATAATCCTCGACGCATTGCCTCTCAGTTTCTAGTTGAAAGTATGTATCGACAAAGAAGAAACCGGTCCAGATTCCACCATCCATTGGCGTAATGCATACTGCAATTTGTGCTTGACAAAGGTAGTCGATCGTGGGGGTTGTTGGAGAATTGCGTTGAAGACAGCTCATATTATGAACCTTTCTCAAGGGACTACTATCTTGTCCGAACCATATGTCTCATGGCTCATGTTGGGTCAGCTTCCATGAGTAGAAAGGCAAATGGAATGAGAGCTCATATGTGACGAGACCTTGTGGCTGTACAAGGAATAAGTCAAATGAATGGAGGATTTCACATGGCGTGTACGCTCACTTTGGATGAGACTCCTATATAAGGCTGAAAAGCAATATATGAGTATAGGAAGTGTACCAAAGCCTTCCTTTGATACCCAGGAGCCGTTGCCATTACACTGACCAATGAATGGCTATCTGGGTTCGTAATGAAGCTAAGATATGTCAGCATGAAAGTTCGAAAGACGTCAGAAGCTTTTGGAAGTCCTTACACCAGTCTATGGTCTGTGTTGGGCTTTTTGATGCCCCCGTTAGACGGCGGCTCGTGGAATCTCTAATATCTCAATTACCACTATGGCTCGATTTAGGGAGAGGAGAGGCTCACCTTTTCCACAAGTCTAACATACATCCCGTGGGAGGTCAGTGGCTTCCGGTTGCCATTGCTGGTCGGTGTGGTACCGTTGACCGTTCTATCATCAATGAGACATGACTTTCTGGATGAGATATTGGAGCTGTTAGACCGGAGTTCTTGAAGCTCGTTTGAGTGACAGAAATTGTTGACCACTTCAGCCTGGTACTTGCGTCTTGGCTCCTTGCCACCCCTGGTCATAAACCAATCTACCAAAGTTTTGGCTCCAATCTTTCCAGGATCAGCGTATCTGTCATTCAAAATCTTAAGCATTCCCTGGGTAAGCTCCGAGCTTCGTTGAAGATTTCCACCATCTTTAACTCCCTCGGACTCTGTAGCCCTTTTAGCCAGAGTTGGATGATTTGTATAGTCTACCATCTGTGGCAGCTTATCGTGACTTCCTGCTTTTCTTTTTAAGGGACCGTAGCTATGTCTCCTTGTGATCGTTTTTTTGCTCATTGTGGTCCTAAGAAGATTCTTAGTAATTTTATCAATAAGAAGAATTAATAATAATTCACCTTAATACTAGGCCATGAATTAATTTCGGGTAGGGGAGAGGAAAAAGAAAAGAATGTTAGGTAGTACGAGGTTTGACTCTGAGTCCTCAAAGGTTCAGATATGTAATGATACTTCGGGGTAAGACACGACTCTTATATAGATAGCTACGCCACGATGAAGGTGACACAGCATAATAGGCAGAAACAAGGAGAGCGTTTACTTGAGCTACTTGTGTAACATTATAGTTATACAAGGAGCATGGATAATTCTTATTATGGTTACATTAGACGAGAGGTAACAGGCGGTGTCACCATAAATTATATAATTCTTCACTTCACTATTGATCAGTAATTGTCATAAGAGAAAATAAGTATGTTACTTCATTTAGATATTGTTCTGAAGCAGTCCTCCCTCCAATCATGGTAGCAGATATTATTTTTTGTAGGTATTCTGGCTGGATTCATCGACCGAGTTCATCGTGGTCTCACCACCGATACTGATCTGGCTGGCTGACTGTTTGTCTTTTACCTCGCAATGCTGGCATCTCGATTGGTTGCACCCAGTGCATTGGGTTATGGAAGATTCAATATGTGCTGTCCGACAAGCGCAGCATGTCCAAACCCAACCCGCTTGTTTCTCTTTCTGTTGTCGTAACTGTGCTTTGTGTTCAAAACCTTTGTGACTCATTCAATGAAGCTTTATTTAACTGAAAACTTAGTCCTGATTATGACCGAATCTCCAACAGACAAGCTTTTCCGCCCAACGCCACCAGCCCGTCTAACTTTTCCTCCTCGGCGTCTTATATATCTCGTTATCGACAATAGGGAAGAAGGCTGGAGTTAGGGTTGTGATCTCTGTGTCTGCTGGCAGCCGGTTGCCGATTAGCTATTATATAGTTATAATAAAAGTTATCTTAAGAGTATTATCTTAAGTTGATAGACTTACTTATATTAGGCAGCTTACCTTTAGGTATTTTATATACTTTAAGCCTAATTATCCTTATAGAGGAGCAGCAGGTAGCTACTTATTTATATACCTCTAAAGTTAATCATTAAAATATCTAGCTTTTTAGCTAAAAGTAAGATCTTAAGTAATAGTAAGGGCAATAAGTATTTTACCTATATATATTTTTTTAGTGTTCTTTACCTTTATGGCCTTAAGGCTGAAGCCTCTTTTTGACCCCTCAACCCTATCACAGTCATAACTGTGAGCTACCTTTCCTGGACGCGACGACATTTTACTGCTCTAGCCAGCTCCTACTTATGGTTCGATAGCCTGAAATGGAATCGGCCATAGTTGCTAGAAGTGATTGGTTCACGTAGGAAGAGATTTGTCTACATGAATTGTTCAGTTTGTAGTCGAGACTTGTGGCTGAGAGCTTCAATCAGCAGAGAGTACTTTGTTTAGCTTACCCCAGTAGTAGGAGCGCGTTCGCGACACGAGCTTTTATAATGCTACAATAATGGTTGTTCTGAGCTTCACTGAGGAAGAAATCGAGTGACTGACTGATGCACGGTCTACGTAGAAACCATTCACGGCAAGATCCAAATGCGTTATTCACTATTCAGCTGAGAGCTCATATTCACTACGCAGAACTTGGTGTTGCTCACTGTTAATTGATAGTTGAAGTTTATGACGCCAAGAGTTCACGGGAGCGTACGTCTCTTGCCAATGGATAGGGTGACATCGAGAGGTACGATCCATCCTCCTCGCCCCTTCTCAATGGCAACAGTCCCGGTGGAATTCCAGACTTTGGAGAGTTCCCACTCCTCGCCATCCGTTGCTTCAATCCATACCGCTGTTTTGGCGACCCTGGGTGAACCCTCCCGCTGTGCCAGCTCCACGTGAACAGTACTTTCTCCCTGGGTGAATGTGAAGTTGCTAATAGATCCCATATCAACAGTAATCATGACGTTGAAAGGCCCGATGAAGATCCTCTTTCTTACAGCATCCTTCGGTATAACAGAATACTGTGCTCTAGTCTTGGAGATTGTAGCTCCGAAGGCAACCATACCAAGTTGCTTGTCCTCAGCGACATAGGTGCCAGAGTTCAGCACCGTACCAATGAGGCCACCGCCATAATCACCGGTGATACCATCCCACTTGAGAGTATCCGGTCGAGAGTGGAACGCGGCACTAGGGAAGCCATCTTGATTGATGTTGGTGAGCGGGGCAGATGATCCAGCATACCCAACCCGGAGGAGATAGGAGTCCGAGGAGTCATTACGAAATGCTGAGAGCAGGACCTGGGAGTTCAGACCAGAGCCGTAGTGATGGATCTGTCGCTCGATGCGCTGGAGCTTTCCTCCATAAATGAAGTCCCAATATCGACGGGCATTGCCGTTCCAGCCCCAGTGAGGTACGTTTGGGGTATACCCCAATACACTATCGATTGTCTTTTGAGCCGAATCGTTGAAGCCGAAGTGTCTATAGAGTTAGCAAGGCACAGCACAGCGCGTCGGACTTTTATCTCACCTTGTCCAGTAGTATACGCCCTCTTGACCCGTGGAGTCCCAAGCCATCTCGCTTCCATAAGGGATATCTTGCGCATCCCAGAGCACAGCACGCTCCTTCATTGCTTCCTCGAGAGCATGTGCTGGAGTGCCCTTAACCTCACGCCTTAGGTCCTTCAGAACCTCCCCAAACACAGTCTCGCCCATCAGGCCAACGTCTCTATATGACACGTCTTTCTGGTACATACGCATAATGGTCTTTTGAGCCTGGTCCAAGTACCAGCTCCAACGTTTGGTTGTTAGCTCGGGATATGCTCGTGCGACACGATACATGGACCAATACGCCACCACGACATGAACATAGTTGTATGCACGATCGACACTCTCCGAAGCTTCCTTGTTCCAAGACGTCCAGGAAGTCCAGTCGCTATCCTTATCATAAGGGTAGTCCAGTTTAGGGTCGTAGTAGAAAAGTGATTTGCGCACTCCGTAGTCTGTCCCTTGAAGTCCACCCCAAATCGTGGTTTGAACGAACTTGTCCAACTTGGCTATCTCTTCAGCGTTTGGCTGAACCACCTGCTTGAGCATGGCTGCGACATAAGCACCGGTGCCCCCTTCATCACTGAGGCCTGCAATCCAGACCCGTGGATCCTGCTGGACGATTGCGCGCTTCTCGTAGTCGTAGGTCATGACCGATGGAAATCTCTTGAAAGGATCCGATGAAACATTGAACCAAGCTTTGGTAGTCAGGAAGCTTCCAAGGTCATTGAGGGTCTCTGATGTTGGCTTGGTAATGAAATAGTGGACAGTCTGCACCTTGCCATCATTGTACTTGATGCTAACACGAACTCGTCCCCAAGCAGATGATGAGGATTTAAGCTCGTACCCCTCTCTGGAATCCCTCCCAGCTCCCTCGATTGCAAGTGCTCCTTGCGGTGAGACATCAATCGAAGCAACTCGACTATTGCTCAGAGGAAAGAGTAAGGCAGGCAGGTCGCGCGGAATAATGTATCCAGGAACACCAACTACAACAGGAGTTCCAGTATTCTTGACCGTATCGTCAAAGTCGCGAATAGATTCGGATATGGAGAACCGGACACCAACCTTGAACGACTCGCCAGGCTTCAACATCTTGGAAGTCGGTTCGTTCCAAGGCTCCTGGTTCTTCCATTCATTCTCTGCCCACGCCTTAGTGAGGACCTGCCACTCATAGAACCCTTCGAAGGTCTGGCTTGCATAACCAGTTGACTCGAACCAAGGTTCTTTTAGATCCCGATAAGCCTCTAGTGGTGTCTCGGTTCCGTTCAACGGCGTGACGACAAGACCATTGCCAGTGCCTTTGACTGGCGCGACACGGATGTGGCCGGCATCCAGGCCGATATAGGGATCTGCGAGAGAGCAGTGGGCTTGCATCTCCTTGGCTGTCCTGTTGGTGAAGATACTGTTGACCTCAGCTGGGAACCCCAGGCTGCCAAGCTCAACAGTGTCATTCCCATCATTAGTGATGGTGAAGCGCAGACCCAGGTCACCTTCGAAATCGAGCCATTCCCGAGTGATGTTGAGAGGGCTATCGGGCAGTGTCGGGCCAAGATCTGAGGTCGCAAGAGCGTTTCCCGAGCTGATGTTCTTCACAGGCTGCCGCTCTTGAGCAGAATCACCACTCGTCCATGCTGAGACGCCTTGTTTGCGATATCTGTACGTGATGTCACCCCAGTGGTACTGCCCATTCTGGGCGCGAACATCAATTCGATCAAATGGTAAAAAGTCAAAAGTATCGTCTCCTGGGATCAATGATACCAGGACTTGTGCGTCGCGAACGATGCGGGCCTTGAAGTTGTTGGTCTCGATGTCGATGTAGCCATTGTCGAGTCCAAGGTTGTCTTTTTGGGCCAGGGCCAACGGTACTGCGAAGGCGAGACCTGCGCATAGCTGTTTAAGGAAGGACATTTTGGCTGGCAAAACCTGTGGCTGGCAAAACCTGATGGGGAGGGGTGCATTTCCTCTGGTCGCGACCGTGAGTTCTTATGGGTTCTTATAGAGCAGTGCGATCAATTACAAACTTTTGTGCTTAAGCCATCATACTAAAGCCACACCGGACCATTTCCGTGTCCTCGTCATGCATATTAACGGCCCAAGTTCAACGTGATGCGCATCAATCAGTTGCATAGTCATCCCGGATCATTATGATCATGCTCGACTTTCGCGTATTGGATGAGGCAGTCTAGGATGTTGATCATTTCAATGGTCTATCTTGATTGGCACGCCTGTAGCTATACGAGCCAAGATCATCATAACTGAACCTGGCAACCCCGAGTCCATCACACTCCATGTTTGAGAAATGTCACCTTCCGTAAACATCGACCCATACATAGAACTGATCGTTGCTGCTACTTGAGAAGAGGGGATGGGATCGAACCAAGAAGTTGTTGAGAAGGGGGAGGGGGGGCTTCCAGTCATAGATGGGATAGAATCAAAGTAGTAGTAGGTAAGTAGGTAGTATGTGGAGGCCTGAAATCTTAAATAAAAGTTAATTCAGTACGCTCATCCATCAAAAAGATTACAAGCGGTCTCTATAAGCAAGCCATTCTTAAGAAAAAAAAAGAGAGACATTATAAGTTAAGTAGAAATAGCAAAAAACATGCGGTTTATGTGGATCGAACACATGACCTTCAGATATCGAATGATGATTGAAGTTTGACTTCAGTCTGACGCTCTCCCAACTGAGCTAAACCCGCTTGTTGAAAGTAGAGCTTTTATTACCCTACATGTTTGCCATTCCGACGAATTCATCCCGGAGACAGTGAACGGGGTCGCAATGGCATGCACCTGAAGGTGAAAATAAGCGACTATTGATACATGATACAATTTCTCTCCCTCGCACTACTATGGAAAATGCTATGGGAGCTCATGCGGCGAGCTCTTGGAAATGGTCGTAACACGAGGCCTGATCCAAGCATCATCAGGAGCTTCATTGATAGGATTGGAATCAGCCTGTAAAATGGGATTTGAATCGGCATGAAAAACGAGATTGGAATCGGCATGCAAAATCGGGTTCGAGTCAGCATGTAAAATTGGGTTAGAATCTGCTTCCGTTGAAGCATTCCCTGCCCTTCTCATTGCCTGTCCCCGAAGACCATGCCTTGGTCTTCCAGCCCGTGGCATATTATCGTTCTCAGGGTATGGCTGCTGAGGGAGGGTAACATCAGCGGGCTGTGGCATTCCATCATCTTCAGGGTAAGCCAGTGGAGGACGGGCACCATTGACAGCTCGTGAGTCAACTTCAGTGTACCTGTTACCCTCTGTCCCCTCAGCTTCCGCGATTCCGATCTGAGGTAAGACCTCAACGGTGGCATTCCCTTTGCCGCTTAAAGCGTCATCCTTCTTCTCGGGAGTCACTGCAGTCGCGTGCGGAGTAGAAGGACGATCGCGCTGCTTGTAAACGCAGAAGACTCCAAGGAACAAGAACCCGATGAACGAAACACCGCCGACTGTACCCCCGACAATCGCAGGCGTTGAGGACTTCTTAACTGAGCTATCCCCACGATTTGCCGTCGACGTTGGAGTCTGTAAAATCGTTGTGCGAATCACACTTTGGAAAGTACTCGTCGCATCGCTCGTCTTGGTGCTGGACTTGGGATCGGGTGCTTCGAGGGTATAGATTTCAGCGCCGCTATCGCAACAATCGCTTCCGTCTGCTGGAGGACAGCAGTATTTATTCTTTCCGCACGTCTGCAGTGGAAACCAAGTGCCAGATTCCGCTATCTGAGGTTAGTTACATTTTCCGTCTGGTGGTTTGGAGGTGACTTACTGTCCATGCAAACCTCTGGGCAATTGGACCAATCTTTGTTCTGACACGCAGCGCGGTAGTCGTATTTTCCCGGCTGGTTGCACAAGCCGTTTGCCAAACACTTGTCGCCCTCGCCAAAGTAGCAGCACGTGGAGTACGTCGTGGTTGAGTTGCCGCATGGTTCGTACTTGTAGTCTTTTGCTGCGTTGATACCGTTGGGGTAATAGCACGTCGCCGACACCCGGCTGCCAAAGAGGGCGCCTAGTAACACAAATTTGCGCATTTTACTTGCCTTTTGGTCCTTCTAACGTTGCCTGCTTCGAAGACTTTGGCAGAATCACAGTTTGTGCAACAACAAATTTGGGGAAAGGGGCAAACAATGGCTCTTAAAGCGCCTCTTGATCCCAAATGTTTTCAGCCCTCCCAGGGCTGAGGTCTTGTGGCTTGGATAGCGTGAAACTATCGCGACTGAACCCTGCAGTGACCGATCATCCAAGACACGGCGTTGGTCTAGATTGTCGAGGCCGCATCTGATTTGACGCCTTAGCGAAGATCAAAAAACCAAGCATTCCCAATATTGGCGGTAAACCATAAACAGATAGCGTGGGCTGAAGTTGACCCTTATTAGTTCTTAATCGTCGTGGAACTCATGATCTTCGACTGAGCGAGCCACCATTGCACACCAATTAACTTATTGGTCACTTGCTTCCGCTCCCTAGAAATAGATATTTATCTACACAGCGCCATTTTGGCCAGAATACCAGATTGGCGGAGCCAGGTCTTGTGGCTGATTACCACTGATCGAACGCGAGCAATATTCTCTGTACCCTGCGACTGGTTCTTGAGAAAATGGAGTCCAGTCAGGCGAAATCGGGAGAAAAGCTTTGCTGAAAAGCTGTAATGTCCCAAGATGCGGTAAAAAGTACTGATGCTGGTGGATGCTAGAGTTATTGCAAGAAACCGGGAGATTAAAGGACGAGGTAGGCTCCTCGATGAGATGTACTTACAATCAAAAGACAACCTTTTAACACAGCAGACTTGACAAAAAGAAATAATCTATGCAATAGAGGCTGTTTTCTCTAAGCTTCTGGTCAAAAGAAAAGCACATAGTTGAATAGCATGTTGAGGTCAGGCTTATCTATCGAGTCCCAGTGTCATCATGAGCTATCATCTATGGGATAATTTGTAGACACCTGGGACTAGAAGCAGCTAAGAATAACATCGAAAAGTTAAGAAGCCCATTTGTAACGTCTGTCGCTTTGTGGTGTGTATCATGCAGCAATATGTTGTGATGGAACAAAGTCATATTTTAAAAATGGTAAGTGTTATGTCGTTATGCTCATACTAGGTAACAGTGAGGGCGGCGAGTATTTTGCCTGTATGTGTTTTTTTGGTGTTCTTTACCTTTGTGGCCTTGAAGCTGAAGCCTCTTTTTGACCCCTCAACCCTATCACAGTCGTTATGCTCTAAGCTTTATCTACCTTGGGCTCATTTGGCCCAAAGATGAGATGACTTGTGGGTTTTGCCTTTGGTTAGACATCACAAACTTTCGTCATGGCACAAACTGGCACACACTCACACTAAAACCTTGCAAACTTACAAGCAAAGCTAAAGGGAAATAATATTTAAGTGTGTTGCACCCTTGGATTCCTATTCTATTTCCTTTTCTCTTTCAACTTTTCCACTTTCTCGTATTCTCTTAGTCTACACGCGGATACCGTTACACCTCGACATTTCTGTCAATCCATCTATCATGGCCAGCTTCAGGCGTTTTTCCGACCTGCCCAAAGAGATACGGGACATTATATGGAGCGATGCTAGTCAACGTGACCTTGCCGGCGTCCAGATCTTTGAACTTCGGACTCCGAAGCCAAAAGAAGATGGCGAAACTTCCGACACCACAGCCTCGGGTACTCGACCGCCCCGCCAACAACTCGATGCGCCATTGAGGAGCAAATGCTTCCCTGCTCTTGATGGTAGCCCAGGCACTTTGAATGTCTCTAGATACATGGCTGACATCGGATTATGGACTGCCTGTAAAGAGTCAAGGGAAGTCATGGAGAAGACTACTCAGAGATCTAAGAAAATCCTTGAGATGCAAGCAAAGGACAATTACCGGCACTACGACTGGGAGAAACATGTGCCCGCGATTATCTCCTGCAGCAATTCACAGCGATTTCTGGTCCAACCCCACGCAGATCTCTTTGTGATTCAGCCCAGCAAGATCGAGGACATCGACTGGTCCCAGGTCGCTCGTGACATCCGAAAGCAAATTGAACCCGGAGGTTTCGCCTTCGGAATCAATATTGGGATCGAATGGAATGCCGAGTGGGGAATTAAAAACAAGTGGGATGATTTTGATCTGTTATGCCAGGCCTTTCACGATGTCCATGCTCAGCTATGGATAATTGACCATAATCTCAGAACGAGAGAAGAAATAAACAGGAGGGAACAAGACTGCGGCAATAAAACCTTCTATACTTGTGACAGAAGGTTCATAGAGATCAATTGGAATCATGAACCTTTAAGCCGCTGGCGACATATCAAGCCACCTGAAAGAAAGTGCAAATACACCGGCAAAGACGAGGATTCACTGAGTCTTGCGCACAGTCTGGAAAACATAGCAGCTGATGAGCATTGGAATTGGCGCCGTTCTGGGCAGTATGGTGGCGATGAAGATCGACGATTTTACTGCAAGGTTAAACTCCTTGGCTGGGATGACCTATGAGATTGGAGGGGAGGAACTTGGTGGATATGCGGCAAAGCTATTCAGATGATTTTATTTAGGCTTAAAAGAATTCCTCTTCAAGGTCAAATTCCTTCACCTCTTTAGAATGGAGAGCCGAATCTCTCCCCTGTTTCCAAGAACTCACAACGTTGACTGTCTGGGTTAGCATAGTCGCAATATTGTCCGTTAAGCCTGAAGTGCACCGCAAGCAAACCTCTTGTTAGTTGGGCCAAGTACTCGTCGCTGGCCGTTTTGCAGTGTCGTCTACCTATCACAAGGTATCGCTCATGGTGCTTCCTCAGTGGGTGATTGCGGGTAGCGATGGAACCATAATGAAAGGGTGTTTATGTCTGGCCAAAAGACACACTGGGCAAGTTGTTTCCGTATATAATCATCTCTGTCGACCCTTATGTCAGGGTTGCTATCGTGATTCGGCGCAGCGAGTACATCTCAACAATAGCCACGACACGAAAGCTCCGTATCCGGTCACGGAAAATGACTCAAATATCGGTGAATTCGAATAGAAGAATAGTTTCCAGTGATGTCACTAGAAATAAATAAACTTTTATCCTGATTACTAAACTAGAAATAACATTTCTGAATGCAAAGTCAAATACATGAAAGCTATGACTCACGCCGCTATGCAAACATATATAAACTCCCAGTGCCTCCGAAGATAAGGCAATCAGTCTGTGAGACCATTGTTCACATCAATACCATCGAAACAAGAAGCACGAAGCGCCCTGGATATCGGATAACCAACGACAACACACAACCACCACCCGCTCCCGCGATCACTTCTATACCGGGACTTCATACCCACCAAGTACTCCAGTATGGCAGAGTTTGAGAAATTCTCCGAGCTTCCTAGAGAGCTCCGAGACCAGATTTGGAGCATGGCTGTCCGCGATGATCGCCCAGGAGTACATGTTTTCGGACAGTACGACGAAACAAAACGATATAAAAGAGGGAGCCGCTTTCTAAGATCCGATGATGTGGTAAGCGGGACATGGGCTGCCCCTTCATGGCGCCGATACTTTGAGAACTTGAACAAGGGCCTTGGCGACGAGAACATTTCAACATACTTGATCGATGGCGGTCTATGGACAGCTTGTCATGAATCCCGGCTCATCATGGAGAAGCGCTACTAACAGTCAAAGCGAAAGGATTTTGTTGAAGACACTTACCCAAGACACGATAGAACAAAAGAAGTCTTCAAAAAGGCCACAACAGGATGCTTCGACGGTACGCCTCTTGACCTGATGACTGTCTTTCCCCACCGGGACCTTTTTGTCCTTCAGTTTAATGACTTGCAAAAAGTCGATTGGTGCTTCCTGGGATTTGAGGCTTCAATGGCGACTTCTGCAGAGGGCTTTAGTGTGGTGAGGTATGTCGCATTAGAGTACAACCCAAAGTGGTCGGCTGAGCTGATACATGACCTGGGTGATGACATTTGGGCAATCGTGGAGGGTGCATTTGAGATGTGGCCCCATGTCTGGAAACTTTGGTTTATTGACCACTCCCTGAAAAGAAAGAAAGACGCTCCAGTTTTCAAAGAAAAGGCAGACAATGGATATGAGATAAACGCCTTTTATGCCAGCGACAGGAGGCTCTTGGAGGTAGATTGGCATAACTGGCGCGACCTAGAAAAGGAATGGGAATACATCAAACCGATGGAGGACAAGTCGGATAATGGCTTTAGTTCTTCGCCGGATTTCCTTTGGGGCTTGGACTTGGAACTCAGAGACAAAGCATTACCAGATTCTGGTCATTTTCGCGAGCCTTACTGTCATATTGGGATTCTAGGATGGGACGAGTTATAAGGCTGGACCAAATACAAAGGGGCCTTTAGGGGTTAGTAAAGGAAACAATAATATTTTATTTAATTTAAAATATAGTATATTAAATTATAATTTTATAAACTGTTATTAGTTAAGTATATATCTATATGTATCTCTTTTTTTTCTTTCTATATAGGCAATAGGATTGTAAATAATACTAAAAACTTAATCTAGAAAGTAAAGGCATGTTATGCATTAATAAGTGGTTTAGATATTAATAGGTTTTGCTTGCCGAAATTTTATTATACATGATTAGGTCTTATTAGCTACCTAAGCCTAATCTAGGGTATCTACCCTATATAATCCGATTCAATATATTTCTTATATATTATCTTTAGCCATTTAACTACCTAGGTGCTTGACCATTGCACTAAAGGGCGAAATTTCGTTACATATTTGGAAGACGGGCTCGAATATCGGTGCCATCCAGACGACACTGAAGCAGGGTATCATGATCAAATCGGAATTCTTGGGCGGGATGACCTATGAACTGTTCAGAGAGACACTAGAATATGGAGGACAAAGAAGGCTAGAAGGTGCTGCCACTGCTAGATGAATGTTCTGCCACTGCCACAAGAGATTTGAGTGAACAATGAGAAAGAGGTTAGCAATGACTCAGGCCGCAAATTATTAGTGCGTCAGTGCCTGGTACAAGAAAAACCTTTATTATTCACAAATTCCAAGTTAACTTAGACTTCTTCGATCTTCCTTTTCCCAACCAACCTCACATCGCTAATTTCTGCCTGCAGGGTTGAAGTAACGAGCACAGATAAAACACCACAAAACTTTGGCACAAATAAGCCAGCCACGCGCAGTCATTTCAACATCCACTATAAAACCTCCCCTAGCGCACTCTACTTCCTACGGATCTATCACCCAAGCTATCATCTTTCATCACACATTCGATCATGGCAAACTTTTCCGATCTCCTCCGGGAGATCCGAGACATGATTTGGGCGCTTGTCCCACGGGATTACCACCCTGGCGTTCATATCTTTGGGCACTACGATGAGAACCAGAAAGGCATGGCTGAGGGCCGATCTATGGTGCATGGTAGCCTCTTCAGTGGTATACTATCCGAGCCGTCACCCGATAGATACTTCAACAACCTGGACAAGGACCGCAAGAACGAGAACATCTCCACGTATCTCATCGACGGTGCAATGTGGAATACCTGCAAAGAGTCACGACTTGCCATCGAAAAGCGTTTCAAGCAGTATGAGTGGCCTGCTCATAAACTGTGGTGGCATTTTCGAAGTGATCTGAGAGCTTGGAGTGAGTATCCTTACCACTTGGTGTTTGAGGTGCCTTCAACAGGGCACTTCGAGGGAAGCTCTCCGCACTACTTGACTTGGTTCCCTCACAGAGACCTCTTTATCTTCCAATTTGATAAACTGGACAGTGTCGATTGGCACTTCGTTGGGTCTCGTCCAACGCGGGGAGGACTCCGGCCGCTGTGGAGAAGACTCCAGCACATTGCAATTGAGTATAACCCTGAGTGGTGGGACGAAGTATCCGCCTCTCCATTTCCCTGGGACCGGCCAAATTTCAGCAAGTTGATGGATGCTGCTTTTGAGCTGAAAGATTGTCAGAAATTGTGGTTCATCGATCGCACTCTCAAAAGGAGAAAGGACGCACCGACTTTCAAGGAGGAGGCTTACTGCCATACAAGACTTAACGCATTCTACGCTAGAGATAGGAAGTTCCTAGAAATCGATTGCGGCCTCTGCCCTCCTTTGCGCCCGTGGAGCGCTTGGCGCAGATGGCGTATCTCGAGCCCTGATGATGGCATACTGAAGAACTGGGAATATGTAAAGCCCGTGGGTGACACATCGAGTCAAAGTGGCAGTTCGTCGATTGATTTTGTGCGGCAGCTGGAAGAGAGTATCTGCCAAGAGCATAGCGATGGGATCAAAACTCTTGGTTTCGATTCCCGGGGACGCAAGTTTCATTGCAGGATTGGACTTCTTGGCTGGGAGGAATTGTGAGCCTCTATTGTTGTCCCTGGTTAATTCTAACCTGTCGGGCATAGTAGAGAAATCATATCAGACCGCGGCTCACGGATATGTTGGGCAAGGAATTTAGGTCACAAGTCTTGCAGAGTAGCCTTATTCACAAAAGAAGTTTTCTTATGCCTGACAATCCAAAGATGCCTCGCCGTTGATCAGGACTCTGTAACCTTGTCAATAAGGCGACAAAACCTTAGCTGTGCGTTCTGAACGACCCCTGGCCCTGACTTTCCATCTGCCAGCCAGAGATTCGCTTGAGTTATACCTGTATAATCAATCAGCCTTGTAAGATAAATGAGGGAGGTTGCGTCTCTGCACTGGCTCCGGCATTGGCCGAGTTCCCAGGCGGCACCACGAGGAGGTTGCAGAGTCCGACGTCGCCGCCCGCCTCCCCTCTCACTTTAATGTGGAGGGTCAGCATCTTCCCCATTCTTTGATGAATGCTAAAGGAAGCATCGAATTGCTATAGGGACGAACCCATCCCAACCGAGCCTGGCGCTATGCCTATTGGGACTCTTCTGATCAAGAACCTTATGGAATTGATACGCGTTAGGTCGATGACGAGCCCCCGACCGAGTCCAGCTTTCAGTGCTAAAGAGACTCTTCTGGCCGTTTGCAAGTTTGCATGGCACGCGTCAGGGGTCGTGGACAAGCACTGCATAATGTCAGCATTGATAACCAGGCGCAGGAGTTCCAGTAAAAGATCAAGTCATCCCACTCGCCCTCGCTTTCGAGGCTATCAGGCATCGTGACACTGGCGCGCTGCATAATTGCCATTCGCGACGCCTAGGCCATTCCTCTTTATGGGCTGGGGCCCTGCAGTCGACCGTTCGATTTATCCGATTCGGTCGAGATGAATACCAGACTCGTTTCGTTCGATCGTCGGCTCATCTGCTCGTCGAGTGCCCGGTCGGTCGATCGTTTGGCTTCGAACTTGATCGGCCGGGACTTTGCTTCGATGACACTGGATGCATCGTGGGGCACTGTCAAAGTCAGCTGTATCTTGATTGCTCCTGATTTCAGTGGATGAAGTGAAGATGTTCTCACTCACCAAGGCCTGTAAACTTGAGTTTGGCGATGGGTGGGATGGATAGGATGGATGTGCATGAAGCAGAAGGATTTCCATGTGTGTTAGAATGACGAAGTTGTCAAGTCTGGGTGCTCCAGACGAAGGCCAGTTAACCCGTCAATGTTTTGGCCAACTATGAGGCAGGACCATGGCCGTGACAATGACGCGTACCAGTTCAGTGAGGGCAACCACTACCATAAGGTGAAGGAATGGCCAATTCAACTTTGAAGCCAACAAAGATCCAGTTCTGTGTCGTCCTTGAGAGACTGCGTGAGTGCTGAAGAAAACATGCGAAGAATGTGTACTTGGTCTTTATCTTTTTATTTAGAGTGACTTCGCACAATCAGTTAGTCTCGCGCGCCCCTCCAACAGATCCAGGTCACCCCATCTGACTGGTCCAAAGTCCCATGAAACCTCCTGCGACATACCCCCGGAAAGATGCGTTAGAAGTGACTTCCAATCTTCGGTGATGTCCACTTCCAAATCACGCACATCTTACCTGCCATCTCTATACGAAGCAGAGAGAAGTCTCCGGTATCACCACGACAACACTTTCACTCGAACAGGAAGCATCTCGGGCTCGGCAAGCTTGTTGAGCGTGGCATTTGTGTTGGTGCGTTGGGAAATGTGTGTTGAACCCGAGAAGAGAGACATGATCATCGACATTTAGACTCAATGAAATGTTCAAGACTAGTTAGGGTGATAAAGAGCAAATCTTCTTGTTTCGCAGTAACAGTCCTGGCAGAGTCCATCATCATTGAGGCTTGCAAGCTGCAGAGTTGAAGCCTCACTGAACATTGAAATGGTGATACTAACTAAACTGACCGAATATTTGCATTGCTTGAGATGATTTTAGACCAAACACAATCGCGTTGTCACATCCCATGTTAAGTTCACCTCGATAGTATCCTTGTATTTATATTTGTCCAAGTACCGTATTCTAGTGCCTTTCTCATAAGACGTCCAAACTCGATTTTCTTGAATACGGCCCTTCCAAATTATCCTCCTGACCTGTCCAGTTGAATGGACAATAAAACCTCCCAGCCCTCCGTATTTGCCATATTGTGCGGGCGAAGGCAATTCCACAAAATAATGAGCGCCCTCAAGCCTCAGCCATTCTATAATGAGGCCCTCGAGGTAGAACCATAACCCCCTTCTCCAAAACGCGTTAATGTGTATACCCATCCTATCAGGTATACCGTTGTAGTTTGTAGTTGTTTACTCATCTCCCCATAGATTCGTCCCTCCGTTCTCGGCGTTGCGCCCATCGACATCTTCGGAGCGAAGGGATGGGGACATCATCGGCTGGTCAACTGCCGTAACATAGTCGACAGGGGAGTAATCTGCGGTGCAAACTCGCGGGCGGAATCGACAATAGCTTTTCCCACCAGCTCGGTTACGGCAATCTGCTCGCTGACACACATGGCCGTAAACACAGTTTGCTCTTCGGCAACCTCCACCACGCGTACAAGGTACAGAACGTGAAAGATGTTCAAGCGCTGGGAGAAGTTCTTTATCAATTGGTGCATGTTCATATCCACAGTTGTCGCTCTCGCATGAACCATACAGCTGTGCATTATTGCAGAATCTCTTGTCCTGCGATAGCATCTTGAGACGTCTTGCGGCTTCGGGGTCAGGTGGGGGCAGGTAAGCGTCAAGACGGTCCTCGACTGCATTGATGGCAACACATCCATCTGGGATATCATCCTTTCGAGGTAGAGACTCAATATTACTCTTGGTGATACTCGAGCCGCGTCGCCAATCACCTGTCAAGTTCTTTGTGCTTGAGCCGATAGTTGACGGCGAGGGTGTACTATTCTGACTGGATGTTTTACTGTCAACGTGAGAGAACTTGCAGCCGCTGCCATATCGGCAATTTCCTTGCGCATAAAAGCTGCAGACCGAGTTTTCATCATTCGTGTTTCTTTTGATCGTAGAATTTGGGTAAGGTACGCTGACGACTTTGCTCATATTGTTGGACGACGCAAGAGCCGTCTTTGTTTGCGCAGTAGAATAAGCGTATGTGAGTGGCACATGGCGGAACACGCCAGGGAGTTCTTCAACATTCATACCAAGTCTGTCAAACTCCTTATGAAACAACACACTCGGCGTTCGAATAAGCGTGAATCTTTCACGGTTGCCCCTAAAGGGGATAAGGTCGGATACGTAGCCCACATCATGGCAGGCTGCGAAGTAAATATGCTTGCACTGGGCGTTGTCGGCGTACAGGCGGAGAATGGCTTTGACTTTGAAGTCGGCGTTTTCTTTTAATTCGCCCGCGTCGATAAAATCAGCGAGACCGTAAGATCGGTTGAACCCAGCTGTGAAGGATGAGAACGAGCGCTTCTCTGCTCCGGCGAGGCCATTTTTGCAGAGGGCTTTTGATAGGCCTGTGAGGTTGGCGTAGACGCGGACCATGACCTCGCAGGATTCGAGACCTTTGCGGCGTAGACTATCTTTGATAGTATCGTTGAGTTGTTTGGCGGCTCTGCTCCCGCCTTCTTCACCGTCTTTGACGAAGCGTTCGTCAAAGATGTAACCATCTCCGTCGACGACTACGAGAGCAAAGGGATTACGCTCTTGACCTCTTGCGAGCTGCTTGTAGCGCTCTCTGCCCTCACGCTCCTCTTCATAATCGCTTTTAAGACGCTTATAGTCTTCGATCAGAACAGCGTATTGGTCGAGAATGTCGTTGAGAGCGTTGTTATTTCGGAACTCGGCAAGCTTCTCAGCTGCACTGTCGATTGTCGCATCAGGAAGCATTGTCGGCGGATGACGACGACATGCCCTGCATTGCCGAAGATTCCGGGGAGACTTGTGAGTGAGATGTGAGGTGAAAGAGGAGACGGTAATGCTGTCGCTTATGGTGAAGTGCGGGCACAAAAGAATGCCTGTCAATTTTAAAGCGGTAGATGAGATTGCGGTTGCGGAGTCAGGTGATATGCCACGTGTGTTACTCTTCAGGCGTCAACGGCGGGAACCCAATCTGGCTCGACCTTGCAGGAGGGCGAAAGAAGGGCAGCCACGTAAGAATGGTTTCGCTTGTTTTTGTTGTTTGTGTTTCTATGTGCACAGTCACTGTTTGCCCTCTTGAATTTGGTCAAGCATCGTATGTTTGAGGCCGTGCGTTTCACCGCCCCACTAACGACTTTGAAACGGCTTCCAATGCTATGAGCCTTACAAAGAAAATCAGGTAATGCATGAGTCTCTTTGGATTCACAAAGAACAGTCCGATATTTTGGAAGTTACACCTAAATACGTGGCCTCTTTCGCCTTCAGAACCACTCTCGTCTCGTCTCATCTTGTCTTGGGGCACCCCGGTCCTGGACTTGTGCAGCGGCCTACCGTTGCTTATTCTGTAGGCATCCAGCAAATTCCATGTGTCAACAACAGCAATAATGAACAAACCGTACCGAATAAGTCGATCACTAGTCTATACCGCCGTTTACTATACCGTTTGTCCTTCCTCCCATCCGTCGCTGAATGGATAATCCGTGTATCCATCCGTGCTCTTTACCTTGTAGAAAGTATCCCTCTGATACGGCGCCAGGGGAATATTCCTCGCGAGCCTGAGCGGCAAATCAGGATTAGATATAAAGTGTCTTCCAAAAGCAAACGCAACAGGCCGGTCTTTGAAAGTTGTTTCCAAGGCTTTGTTTGCCTTTTCCGCTGTGTAACCCCCTGCTAGAATGACTGGTCCAGCCCAAGCCCATGCATCAAGCGCAAAGTCAAGGTTTTCCTGGTCGTCCGTCTCCCTGTCCACGTTCCCGGCAATACGGGGCTCAATTAGATGTAGGTACGCGAGCCCCAGAGGTTTCAGCTCGGAGATCAGGTATGTGAACTGCGGCTCAGGATCCTGCATCCGCATGCCTTGGAACGTACTGAAAGGTGACAGTCGAATAGCTGTCCGATCTGGGCCTATCTCCTGTGAAACAGCTTTCGCAATCTCAAGACAGAACCGTGATCGATTCTCGACACTGCCGCCCCATTCATCTGTTCGTCTGTTACACGTATCTTGCGTGAATTGGTCGATGAGGTATCCATTGGCAGCATGAATCTCGACCCCATCAAAGCCCGCATCGATGGCATTTCTGGCAGCGCTGGCGAAAGATGCAACGCACTCCCTGATTTCTTCGGTCGTCATGGGCCGTGGTGTAGGATATTCTTCGCTGATGGGAACGTCGCTACTGCTGACCATTTCCAGGCCAGCCTTGTCCAGCGCATGTTGACGAGCTGCTCTGCCGACGTGCCATAGCTGCATGAAGATGAAGGACCCTTTGTTGTGAACCTCATCTGTTACATGTCGCCACGCTTCGACCTGCTCCAGCGTGAATATACCCGGCGCGTTCTCGTCGCGGCCTCGCGATTTGGCAGATACAAATGTCGCTTCCGTGATGAGAAGCGTGCCGGGAACTGAAGCTCTCTGCGCATAATAGTCCCTCATCATATCCAATGGTGCGTGGTTTTCATCAGCCCTCAAGCGCGTCATCGGCGCCATCACGACGCGATGCCTCAACGAGCATCTCCCGATATCGATTGGACTTGTAATGTTTGTCATGTCGAATATGTAACTATTTGCAAAAACTTCGGAAAACACCAAAACTAATTACCGAGACAGTGGTCTCATCGTAGAGCGGCGAATTATCGGAGCTGACCTCGTGGCGATAAGACCCCGCATTGGCCAAGCACGTCACATCAGATCCATCTGTCAATATCGGTCGGAAGTTGACGATGGAGTCGGTGGATCTTGAACCGCGTTTCGGAAGTTATGCTCTCATTTTCTTTTCCATCTCCATATAATTGAGGAGACATGAAAAAGTTCCTGACCAACGTTGGGGAAACGGAGCCATGGAAAATCCTCGATCCAATTGAAAGACTACGTCGAGATGCGGCTGAGTGAGAACAAGCTCATCGGCAATTACGAGACCACTCCACGAGATGAGAGCAATGGATATTTGTTCCACAGTATTTGGGGTAGCTTGTGGAGGTGCTCTCATTTTTGACGGAGACTCCATGGTGAAGATTTTTTTAATTGACGATGATGTACTGAGATGTCGTGTGCTTCTGCGCAACAGAAGTCTGTTTTCACTCAAATCTGCTCAACGGCCTCCTCAGAGCCTCAACGCCTTTTACTCAATCTTATTAATAATTGAACCAAGTGCAACGTTGGTGGCTGTGGCTGCCAAGTATACATAAAGTTAACGCTGTCACAAATGAGAGCATCTCCGACTCAAGCCCAAATTCTCGGCACGCTTGTACAAAAACCTTGACCAATCCCTGCAATATTGTGCTCTCACTTTGTTCTCACTTTTCCCCGCCGATCACCGGCCACCACGAAAAACACTGTCCCGCCCTAACCGTCTGTCACCATCCACCACTTGAAGCGAAAACTGCAAGAGTCTGGGGTAGATCATCCCACTAAACCCAATCAATAACCTCCCCAACGGCTGGCAACGTCCCGAGAGGGCGCGTCGCACGCCGTATAGCCGGCGACAACAACATGAGCAAAGCATTTCTTGGATTAGCGCGGCACAGCTATCTCCGAAGCCTTATCTTTGAGTCGGTGCTTTGCGAAAAATACCAGCATATCTTGGCTCGAGATAACTATAGGCTGATTTGTTCCCTGTGATCATGGCGGTACCCCTCACTCAGTGATAGGTGGCTTACTGCTAGTTCTTGGCTTTCGTAGGAGTGTGACAGCCCGAGGAGATAGCGAATTCTCCACAGAAGTGCTTGTGAATGTCCTGAACATGCGACGACTTGGCAGGTGAGTATAGAGATGTGATGGATTGCGATTGGTAAGCTGCTGATCATTTGTCTCGATGAGTCTGATGAGAAATTGGCAAATGTCAGTCCCAGGGCGTGAAGTTGTGCGGGAATCGGAGGTCTTGGCTCCATGTCTGGGGTCGGCTTTTGTTAGCCAATTACATGTGCCCAAATGCACTACCAGGGCGTCGCGTCGGCCAGGACGGCCAATCACCTCAGACCAGAGCCTTGGCTGAGATAAAGGGTCATGTGTTGGCACTCCCAACTCGTCTTGTGGCGGAACTGAAAGGTCAGCTCAAGTATCGGGGGGACGACACTTTTTATCTTCTTTCATCTTCATCTCAAACCTACATCATTGTCTCAGCTCATGACTGAGATTATCCTGTTTTCTCACTATCAGCGCTAACAATCCCTCGAGTAACACGATCAAAATGTCGGCTGCCCAGGTTTTGTTCAACACTACACCTATCAACACCATACAGACTGAGCCAAAGCGTAGAGGAAGTTGGGTTCCCACGCGAAGAAAGTCAGAATGTCCTCTCGAAGTCACCATCGATCGACACTTTGAGGCCAAGATCTACACCTCGGGCTCAACCATCACCGGCTCTGTGTCATTCTCACCAAGCGCAGATCTAACCGTCGATGCGTTCGAGATAGTCTTCACGGGCTCTGAAACAACACTGGTTCAAATGTTTCATCAAGGAACTATGCCCAAGTCAGGGCACAAATTCCTTCAGCTTCGAATGCCAATCCCAGAAAGTGCCCTGCCGCCCGATGGAGTGCTTCAGGCTGGCCAAACCTACGAGGTTCCTTTCTCTTTCGTCATTCCATACCAACTACCCAGTGCAGCTTGCAAGCATCGAAATCCAATCATTCGGGAACGACATCTACAGTTACCGCCGACTGTTGGATCTTGGGAGCACGATGACATGGCTGTTCATACCGTTGCTATCAACTACGGTGTTGATGCGCGGGCACTTCTCAAGACCGATAAGGGCAAGTCTATGGTCCTGGAAAGAACTCATCCTGTCAAAGTCATGCCTTATCTTCCAGAGCAGCCTCCTCTGCATATCCTCCCGGGAAACCCACGATTCACTATGACTCAAGAGAAGTCAATCCGAAAAGACATTCTCTCTTCTAAGCTAGGCTACGTCAGAGCAACCACTCGTCAACCGGATCCCGTCATCATCTCAGCCGACAAGCTACAGCCATCAGAATGCTCACTCAATATCGATCTTGAGTTCTGGCCAACTTCCAAGAAAGCGACCCCACCCGAGATGTACGCAAAGTCAGCCAGCATCAAAGCATCGACATACTACTCCACAGGCCATCTTAGCTTCCTACCAGATCAACACAACTTCCCCAGCGTGATGCCGAATCCCATTCTGAGCTTTGTTCTCGACGAGAGCGCTACGGTAACCAAGTCGCCCGCCCCTCACTGGGAACAGACATCAGCTTCAATGTCAGTGCCGAGCTCTCGTAGAGGCTCGGAGAACTCTACCATGGGCGACGAACCTCCCCGCACGGCTTCCAGACGGGGCTCGAAGAGTAGTGATATCATCAAGGCGGAAGCGCCTCGACATACTGCAATTTTACCTATTTCTATCGAGCTGCCGAGTCCCGATAACAAGATCTTGCTTCCAACCTTTTACTCCTGCCTCATCAGCCGGACCTACATTTTAGAAATTGTTCTGGCTTCGAGAGCGCATGGTTCCAGCTTCACCCTGCGCCTGCCACTGCAGATTGCGGTCGAAGGACATCACGAGACAGGCATCAACCATGTGCCTACCTATGTGAGTTTCGTTGAGTCAGCATGCGGAGACGTTTCAACTAATAAGGGAATAGGAACAAGTCCAAGCAGGACAGGACTTATATGATGCCCTTCCAACTTACGATACCGCTATCTGAGGTCTTCTTCTTTCTCTCTTTGTGATTTGCTTACAGACTATGAATCACTCTTTGAAACTGCGATTGAGTTAGAAAATTGTTGCTTAATAGTTTTATACCCACAAGTGTTAGTTTACTTTAATTTAAACCCTATACTATCGATTTTCTGTGTCTTCTCTGTCCAGTCTGCTGGATTCTGTCACAGCTGACGAGGTATCTAGTCCAACCTCAGTTTGGACCACCAACCGTGACAGAGACCGCAAGGCGCATAAAGTTTGTCCAGTTGTCGACATTGAGCTCGCCGCCAATTACCTTCCAGATAAACCTATCCATGCCCTTCAATCGACAGCTTTCTCCATTCGGTGCCCAAACAATGGTGTAGACCCTCATGGTGTTATACTCCCTCTTCTCAATGAGGATCCTAGCCTCGTTGGCCCTGACAAACTCTCTGATTTCAGAACCTTTGAAACCTGCCCAAGGCTCAGCAGTCATAAAGTTCTTATTTCCTAGGGCGGTCTTGAAGTCGTCCGGTGGGAGCATGCCCTGAGGAGCATTTGCCTTCAGTGCGTTGTATGCTGCATCTGGTGTTGGAAGTTGAACCTTGAGAAGAACATAGTTTGCTTTGATTGGCGTGAATGGGGCAAGAAATTTGCTGACGGTGGCGGTATTGGTGGTGATGCGGTACACGATAGAGTTGTCTTCTTCCCACGAACCATAGTAGACAAACGAGTCGCGCTTGAATCCGCCATCCAGTAACCATAGCTGATGATAAGGTGACTCAGTAAAGGTGTGAGCACCTCCCCATAATGAGCTGACAAGTCACCGTGTTCTAACTGGTGAAGTATGGCGGTCAAGTTGGCTATAAGAAGAGGATGTTTAAGTGAAAAGAAGTTGCGGGGCGAATCAGTCGACTGTCTGGAATATACAATGTTTAAATATTAACCATAAGAGACAATCACCGCCGAGGCATATCGGCTAGGATGAATACCTCCGTATAGTCACGGGGAGACAAGAGGAAACAAAAGGCCAACACACTGTGGTTCAAAACTTTAAAACTTGTCATTTCAACCTCAAACATATTCTGATATCGCTGTATATCAGTCTCCTGCAAGGGCGTTTTGTCTTACACGAAGTTTGACGCCAGAAGAGAAGCCACATTTCTTGGCATCCCCGCGCGGACACGGAGAAAGTGACCGAGCTAGTCGACATGTAGACTGTCAGCGGAGACACAGTTTGTAGAACTACTACCTAACCGGTATGAAGATGGTATTAGTATCAAGCAGCTCACAACAAGGTTTGTGTCTGCAATGTAAGAGAATAAGAACTTCGTCGGCGGGCAGTGGCTTGGTCATACCCTGCCTCAATAAGTAAGCATGCCGAGCTGCCTGCAGACTTGTACAACGAGTCTTTCGTTGGTATCAGTCCCTCCCGTGAGGATTTCAAACGCTTCACGTTCCAAAGCCTTGCTTACTCACCCAACAGGTGGTCTGGAAAGATGTAGGCCGTCGCCCGACAAGCAGAAACAAATTCATATGTGAAGGTGTCAAGAGTGCTGCCCGGGACCAAACGGTATAAAATCGCGAACGAAGCTGAAGTGATCCAAATACAGGATTGGGGGATTAAAAGAAGGGTCAAGACTAGGTGACAATGCGCTACAATCTCTAGCCTGATATTATCCAAGGCAACGTTGCCTTCTACACTTCATTAGATCCTTCTTGTTTCCCATCCTGATTCCTTCTCTTGTATAATAAGTCCTACTATCGCCGCTAGTTCTCACTACTATTGTAGTACGGTTGGCTATCCTGTACAAATACCGGCTGGATGACCGGAACAGGCGGCTTCGATTCAGGTTCTTGGAAGGCCCTAGTTGGCATTGGTATAGACCTCAATGAGTCTCTGAATCCGCCACCTGGGCCCTCGCTGTCGCCTTGACTTCTTCTTCCCATCCTGAAAGCTAAGATTATGACACCGACGATGAGGGCTACGCCTGCGATTGAGCCGACCACAGCACCAGCGATGACACCTCCACTGGGTCCATCACTGCCTCTGGTCCCTCCATCGGTAGGACTCTCTGTTTCCTCTGGTTCCGATGTACGTGAAGGAAATGTGGCGGATGAACTGATCTCAATCTGTGTTGATGATACACCAACGGTCACAGTGATCGGGGACTCGCTCGTAGTTGTCGTGCTTTCGGTCGCGGTGTCCCCTACAATTCCACCAACGTCAGTTTTCTACTCAATTATTCCAGTATAATGCAATACACACAGTCTGTTGGATCGTCTAAGAATAACGTGCTGATACTGGTTGAAACACCGATGGAGTCGTCGCAGCTGACCAACCATCGACGACCCTCCAAATCGTCGGGGTTATCGTACAACCTGATGGCCACGCAATCGCCGTTGCTATTCAAGAATGTCAGTTTAATCTAAGCCTGTGATAATCCCAAAATATTGCGGGTGTATTACCAAACCAGCGTAGAAGAGGTACTGACACCATCTTTAATCCATTGGGTGAAGTAAGCCGTACTGCCGATACAGGATGTACCGACACGATAATATTCGTCGGAAGTGAACCAGTCACAATGCGCGTATGTGTCTGGGTCTCCAGAGAACTTGAACGTCGTTCGGAAGGATACTGAGCTCGGGTAACTAAGCGTTTCGGCTGAGAAGTTTTTGGTTACTGAATGCCATCTGGGTGTTCAAAGGGAAGAAATACTTGTTCCATCTGTGACCGTATAGCCAATTATTGAGTCACATTGCACGGGTACGATACGACTAAAGAGATAAAATGAGATAAAGGCAAGAGTTAAGTTGAGTCTATACATGTCGCCGAGCGGTTTCTTGCAAGATTTGAGTCAACAAGAATAAGGCTCTCGAGTTTGAGAAGAGGGGGGATCTTTAAACCCAAGTACCCCTTTAAAACAATCCTGCCAGTGACCCCTATCACAATTTACATGATCCCGTGGCGCTCGATAGCTCAATTCCAATGTGCAATATTTTCAGCTGCTCTCCCAATAATGGATAGCCATTGGTGATGAGAGTCTTGGCGCTGCAGGCTGTCACAGCCTGCTTTTGTCTTGCCCCTAACGAGAGCCTACAGAACACCACAGTAAAGCTGCATGTTTCACCACGGGTGAGAATTAATCTTACTGATGCCCAAAAAAGAATCTCAGCCACGGCCAATGCATGAACAAATCGATTTTCTTCAACACAAGCTCCTTGTGAGCTCTTCTATGTAGCCAAGATTGAGGTCAAGGGAATAGCCCAATACATGCCTCACCTGTGCCTAAACATCTTTTCAAGGAAAAACAATCGAATTAGGCAGAGGCACTTACATCAGTCGACTCATGCTAACTCTCTACACCAAAAGCCGGTCTCTGACTGTTTCGACAAGACAGTTCACAGTTCGGTCCCACGGGATCAGCCCTATCGACAATCCGGAATCAACGGACACGATGTCACCGAAAGCCTAAAATTCTGGGTAATATAAACCTGACTTGAAGTTGTGCCTTGGAATTGATCAACGGAATTGGGTGTCGCTCCCCCGAAATCCTGGGCCTGAATCGCTTAACTCCGCTTAAATCCATGTTGATGGTATCTATTCTCCGAAAGTCTCAGAATGAATCATAACAATAAGCGGGATCCATGACGATCACCGAGTTTCATGCCACTTTTTGAGTTATAAATTAAAGGGCTCCCGGGTTAGAAAGGATATAGGAGTTGAATATTTCACGTAAGAATCTCAGACTGTCCATTCGTACTCGGCTCATTACCATTACCCATTACTCGCAAGGATGACGGCAACAACATTTTCTCAGTTCAATGGTGAAACAGAGGGTCTCGAGGTCGCCCAAGCCTTCTCTGCCCAAGTTTCTGGTAAGGTAGTGTTGGTCACTGGAGTGAACCGAGGTGGGATCGGTTACTCAACAGCCGAAGCTATGGTACGCCAGAAATATGGCTTTCGATTCATGAATCCATGGCAATCTAACAAAGAGCATGCTACAGGCATCACAGGGGCCGTCGCATCTCATTATCACCGGTCGCTCCCGTACCAAGCTCCAAGAAAGCGTTGACGCAATGCAGAGTCTATACCCTCAGGTCAACTACGTCGTCCTCCAGTTCGACCTCTCAAGCCAGCAGTCAGTTCGCGCCGCTGCTGCGGAACTTCTTGTTCGAGATGACATTCCAAAGATCGACCTGCTCATTAACAATGCCGGAGTGGCGTTCCTCCCAGAACACACGTATAGTCCGGAGAGGATCGAGATGCATTTTGCGACCAATCATATCGGCCACTTTCTCTTCACCAGCCTCATTTTCCCAAAGCTTGTCAAGGCCGCTGAGGAGAGTCCTAAGGGCGCAACTCGCATCATCAACGTGTCCAGCGGTTCGCCAAAATGGGCGTACATGAGATGGAGTGACATCAGCTTTGAGAAGAAGAACAAGGACCTACCGGAAGAAGAGAGGCCCAACTATGAAGTGCATAGAGCATGGGGATCTCCTAATGTGGAAGAGCTGAGCTACATTCCTCTGGCGGCGTATAACCAGAGCAAAGTCGCAAACGTACTCTTCAGCATTGGCGCAAACAAGCGATGGTACGAGCGTTACGGAATCCTGTCTCTAGCAGTCTTTCCAGGATGGATTGAGACAGAACTCAGCAGACATATGCCGGCTGAAGCTCGCGAAGCAATTGTCAAGGTAGGAAATCAGAGGGGGGTGAAGTACAAGACACTTCAGGCCGGGGGGTCAACCACTGTTGTTGCGGCGCTGGATCCCAAACTTGGGCCAGGTGAGAAGCGAGAGGGAAAAGAGAACTACGGTGTATTCTTGGAAGATTGTCAGATCTGCAGCGGTGCGCATCCTAAGGCTGAGTCTGATGAGGAGGCGGAGAAGCTTTGGGAGCTGTCAGAGAAACTGACCAGTGAAACTTCTTGAAGACATCTTCGCCAATAGCCATTATCTAGCAAGCGTATTCCTAAGTTCACAGGTTGCTCGCAACATGTACGTCTCTTTGTGTTGATTTGAAACAAGTTAGTCTTGAATGCCTCGATGATTTTGAGTCAGAACTGAGTGAAGGAGCATTGATCTCGTTACTGTATATGTTTGTTTTCCCTGGGAAACAACTATAACCATTCCAATTTCGCCGCTTCCTTCATGCCCTCTGCTTCTCCGAAAGGCGTGATTGAATGCGCACTTTAAAGTCCAACGGCTTGACGAACCAATAGCTCTGAGTATGCCAGTTCTGGTGCTTTAACGATGAATCAAGGCTGAAGTCAAAATCGCGGATAATTCGTGGGATCAGCTTTGACATCTCGAGCATTGAGACATGTCGGCCGATACAGTTCCGTGAGCCGAGTCCGAACTAAAATGGTCTTTCGTCAGCGAAATGATCAAACGTTTAAGCCGAGGGAGTCCTACAGGCATATAGTAACGGTTCATCATGGAGAGTCTATCACTCTCCGTAGTGAGCCATCTGTCCGGGTTGAAAGAATTGGCATCTTGGCCAAACACCCGAGTATCACGGTGCGCTACCCATGTGTTGATACCAACAATAGTCTGTATCATTCGTCAGCAGCGAGCTCAAACTATCCCAGCTTTATCATAATGAGCTTACTCCTTCTGGGAAGAATCGTCCGCATATTGTTGCGCCGCCCTCGGGGACGACTCTCTCGAGTGGGAGACCCGTAGCGGGATGCATTCGTAGCGCCTCCTTGATCACAGCTTGGAAATAGACCATCTGCTGGCTTTCCTTAAAGGTGGGGGACTTTGACAGTTCTCCCCGTGCTGTAAGGTCGTCGATCTCGGCCCTCAACTTCTGTAAGCAATGCGGGTTCTTCAGCAAATAGTACAGAACAGCTGAAAGACTGATGGCAGTAGTATCAGAGCCCGCGACCATATTAGACGTGCATCCCATGAGAACGTGATACTGAGTGAAGACATCCGGTGAGGCAGCATGTTTGGCCAGGAACTTGGTGAGAAAGTCTTCCATGGTGACTTCACTCTCTGCGGCCACGGGCTTGGGGGCCACCTGAGCTTGACGAATCCTCTCGTTTGTAAAATTCAAGATGTATGCTCGTCCTGTTCCCTTCCCTCCGGCTAGCCAGTTCCTGATCTTGAAGAGGTACTTATGCAGACTTGGGAAAATGCCAACCAGGGTCGCATAACCCAAATGGTCCTCCAAAGCACCGATGACATTACCAACATCGTCTCCACTGTCTAGGAAGCCGAAGCGCTTTGCATATGTGATCAGACCGATGACATCGAATGCGTAGCACTGGAACCAGTGTCGCATGTCAACAGGTAGATGAGTCACGCTGCTGGACATCTCGGAGAGACGTTGAGTAAAGATGTCGGCACAATCGTCGACAAAGGGTTCATAGTGCACAAGTGACGACATTGCGTATGTCGCTTGATATAACTTTCGGTTCTGGTTGTGACGTTTGACAGACTGATCGCTGAAGATGGCCCATGCGCCAGGACTCGACCAGGCTGAGTACCACGATGACTTTGGGAAGTGAGTGCCCAGACCGTAGATTGTCTTGGCTGCCTCAGGATCGTTGAAACTATATCGGTTAGGCCCATATCGTACAATCGTCCCTACGGCAGAGCATTTAGTGGGTGTTGTAAGCAAAGCGGCGGGTGAATATACCGTATTTCTTATGTAGATCCAGGTTTACATCTTGGAATGAGCCTTTCCAGACTTTCCAGAAGTACCAGCCATCTGTGAACCGGGCGAGGGTAGGTCCCGGGACAGTTCGGAGTGGTGAGCGGAAAGATTGCACGACGAACCGCAAGAGGAGTGCTAAAAGCACTGCCGGGATAGCAAACACTGCGATTGGAGAGGTCATCTCGAGGTGTCGCCAGTGTCAAGAGGCAGGAGGTCGTTGAGAACGAGGTTACTCTTGAATCTGGACTCGTCGAGGTTTTATAGCGCACTTCCGCCAGATGAGACTTGCCGATTTGTATTCCCGAGGCTTGAAGAGTAATGGTTGTGTCCAATGACGTGGGGTATGTTCTGTCAGCCCAAGATCAAGTGTCAGCATCTCGTCTGTTGTCCCCCGAGGTCTCCGAACTTATCTACCCCGCAACCCCAGAGTTCCTTGCCTCAATTCTGGGGAAGATCTACGTCTCGGCCGAAGTTCGGGCTGTGCAAGTGGGCGGTCCGATGAACGGGAAGCGCATGTTGAACGCACGAATGAAGCTCGTCCATTATTGTTAGCTTAGCTTTAGCCAGCATCTTGTTTGAGCTATGAGAAGCTCGGCCGACAGGGCCCACCGAGAGAAAATGGATGCAATCCTGGATACCCATGACACAGCCTGCATCGACGATCGGGTTGTGGACGCCAATCCCGATGCACCGTTGCAGCCAGCTAAGTCAACAGCTGAACGGGCTATCATTTACGACAAGGCTACGGTAGCCATTCTTGACATAGGCAAGACCTCTTGACCTTGTACGCTCTGGATGGCGAGCCTCCTTCGCCCGGTGAGACCAGCACGGAG